AAAAAAAAAAAACAAGAAAAAAAAACCAGTAGTATACTAATAGGGGGAAAAATAGCACAGAGAGAGAGAGTAGAAACAGAGGATTGATACTAACTTTGCTTTGATCACCCATTTACGTTTATATCGTGGAGCAATCTGTACTGGAGCACTTCCAGATGATTTTGATGTGGTCGGCTCGGTTGACCTGAAAAATAAAACAAACTTAAAGAAATAACGTCTTCAAGATATATACCAAAGAAAAGAATATCAAGACAACATTTTTTTGGCATTCATGATTTAAATTGTAGTCAATTAAAAGAATCCATACTTTTTAGTTTAATTAATGGCGTCCTAGAAAATTACACTGTTGAATAGAATACGTCAAATCTTATATGCATTACTTATCTCATCTATATTTATTAAGCCGAGTGCTACACAACCCAATTTAAAAACTTTTTTAAGTTTTTCTATCTAATAAGAGTTTTACGTGGCTTGAACCTGCAAATAAGATATACTTTCGGAAACAGTTCGTGTACTAGCTGTAATCTTATATTGTCATGCGTAGAATCATACCAGGGCAGAACACAAAATTCTAACTTCATTTTCCAGAAGCCATAACATGAACTGGGTTCGGGTCTTGTGCAAAGGTTTAAAATGAAAAATGACGAATCGGCAAGAACCCATTATTTTTTTATTTTTTATTTTTTTGATAACTGGGAATCGACTCCAAACTCGGATTTGGGAGACATCATGGATTTTTGGTATTAAACCTACCGAACTTGAAACCTCTRGCAGTATGACCAAGAGACCCAAGCCCTTGCCAACGGGTGCAGGAACCCATGATAATACAATCATAATTACTCGCTTTACTCGCAAAGACAAGGAGCAAGATCTTATTCCAGAGAACAGGGAGACAACTTTATCTGAAAGAAATATACACTGTACCTCAATCTCTTAACAGTTGCCGAAGTGAGGGGAGTTGGCAATGTGGGCGTGCACTGAGATCGCTTCGAATCCTCGCACGAAGAGCATAAAGGCCCCACTTGTCCAATTGATGAAGGAAAGCATCCTAGAAGTCGTTATACACACTAATTATTTAACAGGTTATAAATCTTGTAAACTACTTGGTTTTGGTTGAGMCTTATGACGGCTACAAGTGGCGACAAATATTTAGAGGGAAAAAAATTCACAATTTCACCTTTACACTCTCTACACGTAAAATATTTTTCATCTGGAGAAGAGGTAATCAGACTTTGTATGGTGGCCTCTAGTGTCTGCCKACTTCCCTTGCATGCTCTCAACAGGTCGAGCAGGCTCTTCCCGTTCTCAAGACATATATACTGTGCCGCTCGTTTATATTGTTTACAAGCGTGGATCTCAAATTGTGAAGGAGGAATGACCTAGATTGAAGAAGAAAGTAAAGAAAATCAGGTGCGGAGAAAGAAAAGTGTGGCAAAATTCATTTCATGAATTCCCATTTTAAATCCAAAGAGATTACAGACTCTGCATCCGTTGCAGGACGAGCATGTACACAAAATCCCACCATCTTTAATTGTACCGCGCAGACCATAATCATACGCCTGAGATCAAAATTCAGCACGAAAAATGAAGCTGGTTCCCAGATTTATACAAACCTAATTCTAAATGAATCAACGTACTGAGAAAATTCAAACGTTAGAATTCAAGAATTTAAATGAGCAAATGGCTACAACACCTTCTTTACACCCATGTAGATGACAGGTACCCCCTCCAGCAAACCAGTATCAAACAGCTCCCTCACGGTCATTGGCTTCTTATTCAATGCAATCTTCTTCGACATTTTTAACTCCAGCTTATTCTTCGGAGTTGACAGAGAGTTGACTGTTTCACTTGTTGCCCCGCCCAAATCTGAAATAACTTCCGTTTTAACAGACCCAATTGTAATCGGGGAGCCTTCTTCCACGGGCTCAATCTTCGGTCTTAATGAGGAGCGTGTAAATCGCTTAATTCCCCACTCAGGCAAATTCTTCTCAACTTTTCTAGCCTCTGCGATAACTACGGGATTCTCCTCTGCGCCATCTTCCTTATCTGTAGACTCTTTCTTACAGATAAGACTCGTCGAATTGCAATTTGATTTCTCCGAAGCTATAGTTTGAATTTGAACCTCGTCAGTCCCACTATCCTCACCAACCGCCAAGCTTCGAACAATTTCGTGCCCTACCGCGCTATTACACGTCTTACTATTCTCATTCCCAGAAAACCCGCTGTACACATTGATCYGAGACTTCCTTCCTCTAGTATACACAATCAAACCATTGACAACAGAGCCTTTGAATCTCTTGCACCTACTACTCCGAGCAGCCTCGTCTAAACAACTACTCGACCTTGCCTCAGCCAGAGTCTCGCTACGAGTATGACCGAGAGACCCCTCGAGCTGAGATTGAACCTCCAAAGCAAAAGCCAACTCCCGCTTCATGCTTTCCAACCTAATCAGTCCTCAAACTTGAAATCCACAAGAATACGAACCTCTAACTTCTACAATTTGAAAAGGAAAGTCCGGAACAACGAATGCAGCAGCGGATCGCAAGCTTCGGCGTGAGCAGACATGGAGGAAGGGAGATCGGGGGAAATTGGATTTAGGGTTTTGGTGAGGTTTTAGCGGAAAGTAAGGGAAGAGTAGGAGGAAGAAGAAGAAGGTGCAGCATCCGCAAGCATCTATGGAATTAGAAGGTGCACGCAGTGAGGAAGTGAAACAATGGAGAAGGATAAAGATGAAGGCCTGCTGCACGGGGACGGGCAGATGGGGCAGCATTCGTAATTATGCAATTTTTAGTTATACGGACCGGAAATACGGACTCGAAATGGAGGAAAAAAAAAAAAACAGGACTGGTACGTCGTCGTTTCGACCTGGAAGCCACGGTCCTTACTAGGCCCATCAGATCACTTGGGCCGGCCCAGTTTATCCACTTGCTGAGACATGGATTCTTCTGCCATACATACATGATACATGTAAGGGAAATTTAAAGCATCGTTTGTTAAAATTCCTGTTTTTTGCTTCTAGTTTCCAATTTTCTTAAAAAATGTAAGTGTTTTTCAATTAAGTTTGTTTCTTGTTTCTCGAAYATTTTCACAATTGTATAGAAATTTTGGAAACAACCAAAACTAGTTTTTCATTTCTTGTTCTCATTTTCAATTTGTTCCAAAACGTAAATAAAAAAATTGTTTTATCATACTTAAATTCTTAGAGGTTTGAATATAGTACTTTTTTCTTTAATAGAAATAAAGAAACAGAAACAAAAAAYAGGAACGTTACCAAACGAGYCTTAAGTAAGTGGCTAAATTATGCCATCCACTTAAGAAAATATCCATGTTCTTTATAATTTTGTAAAGATAGCTAAATGATATAATTGAAATTTTACATTTTTTTGGTTTTTCATTTTATTTTTTATCTACACTGAATATATTTCTTGAAATGTAATCTAAAAAAATTTGTTGTGTATAGAATTTGTATTAATTTTTTTTTTTTGCTAAAATTGTCAATTATTAAAAGTATACGAACCAAAACAAATATTTTGAAAGTATAAGAGTTAAAATAAACCAATATTAAAAGTAGAGAAACCAAAATGAGCGAAAGTTGAAAGCACATATAAAAAGTAATATTTTAAACTTTTTTTTAGTTTAACAATGCTTAGGTTGGTACATTGTTTAATAATTTCTAAAACTTTGAAACTTGTGATTTCTTAAGATTTTAATGTTGTGTCTAATAGAATTCTTTAAGTGAAGTGGCAGACATACTTTTTAAATTCCTGGATTTGATACAAGATTAAAAGTTCAAGAACTCATTATCTCTACCTTATTATATATATATATTTTTTAATTCAACAATCTATTTGATGCAAAATTAAAAGCGTAAACACTTATTATTAAACATGTTTTTATTTATTTTTATCAAAATTAAAAGCGTAAACACTTATTATTAAACATGTTTTTATTTATTTTTGACATAAACACGTTTCAAAAATTTAGGGACATAAAAAACATAACATTAACAAATTCATAAACATGCTAAACACTTTTCTAAAATTCAGTAATTTATTAGATAAACTCTAAAAGTTGATTAGTTAAATTTGTTGTTTAACCTTTTAGTTATATTTAAAACAGTTAAATATTACTTCGATCCTAAACTTATTAATATTTTGTCTTCATTTTTCTTTTTTTTTTATGAACATCTACTAGATCTTTTATTCACTTGTATTGTTTAATTCAAATAATTGAATGAATTTCTTGATTTTAAAACTTCTTGACAAATATCTTCGAACATCCRTATTTCTTGTACAAAATCAAAATCAAAATCTCAAACCTCTCAAAATATTAATTTGTAAAAGGACAACGGCTTTCCATGAAAAATAAATGTCTAACTTAAAGTTGTAAAATAAAAAGGTTCGTTGAGAATTCTGATTGACCGATGCAACAAAAWTTTTTCTATTTTAAATGAATGGTCGCGTTCGACAGATTTACGGCCATTATTGAACGTAAATTTCTTTTTCAAARTCGGAATGGATGCCTTGTCTAATGCCTTCCAGATATGGATAGGGATGTTCATGGACGGGGTAGGGACGAGGAGGCTTTCCCATTCCCGCCTCCCATTTAATTCTCCATCCTCACGAAATTCTCCACGAAATTTTACGGTGATCGAGATGGGGATTCCCCAAAAATTCATAGGATCGAGTTAGCTGCTGAAAATTTTTCCAAATTTCTTTTTTAATGTTTTAAATTATTTGTCAATAAATATTTTTAGTTGCTTAATTTATAAAGTCTAATTATCTCAAATACATATATTAGGTGAGTGGGTAGAAAACAATACATGCTTTCCTTTGTACATATATATTTAAACAAAATAATATAATTATTTTAGTGTGTATATGTATATATATATAAATATTAAAAAAATGGCACAGGGCAGGTGAGGAATGGGGAATGTATTCCCCGTCCCTGTCCCCGTCCCCGTCCCCATTTAGGTGGTGGGGAAAATTTTTTCCCATCCCTATCTCGAGGAAAATTAAACAAGGATTCCCCGTCCCAAGTGAGTCACCGCGGGGCCGGGGCATAGGTAAAATCAACCTCCCTACCCCCACTTCCACCTGCAAATTAAACTGTTTTGTTTTTCTAAATAAAAAAATGCAATTCCATCCAGGTTTAAATATTTGATCTGTTCCACAAAAAAAGAAGCAGATTTCTGCAAATTCAAGAATCAGTTAACCACCATTAAATTTTCTACGAATAAAAATAAATAAGTTAAAAAGGAGATATTTCTTCTGTTCTTTCTTAAAAAATAAGAGCTGTGAGCGATAAAATTGAAGAGGCCATAGCCATGTAACAAATTATATTTCATTGAGCTTTCAAGAGCGATGCATTATTAGAAGAAAGCAAAGCAAGAAAAAGAAAAAACAAGAGTAAAAGAAGAACAATACTGCAGAATCCGAGTGACTGAGTCGAAAAGTTGCAGACTTTCTCGATGCCCACATCAGAAGAAGCGAAGAACAGTGAGATTTTTTGTTTTTTCTGGGAAATTTGATGAATGCCAAAGGACGGGAGTTGCCCTTAACAGAGGAAGCGAGAGAATTTTCCTCTGCCCCACTGAAGAAGACAGACAAAAAAAGTTTCAAGAAACCTTCATATTAATATCTCCTCAATAGCCTGAGTCAACTAGGAGCATGGGGGAAAAACTGCAGCAAACTTCACACCATCTCCACCTACAATGGAAGCTCCGCCGCCACCGGCCGCCGCAGGGACGGCCGGCGGTTGAAGGGCATGAAAGAAAGTGGTGGTGGGGTTGGGTGCGGTTGTAAAGAGGGTTTGGTGAAGAAGCTGCATTGGTTGTTATAGGAGATTTGCAGGGCAGAGAAGAAAGGCAAATCAAGTGACTGACGTGACCCCAAGAGCGCTGTGTGGCCACTTTTTTGTTAAAAAGGAAACGTGAGCCGAAAGCACGACAAAGATAAAAAACAAAAACAATTAAAGAGTGAAAAATGGAAGCAATATGAACAAAATTCAGCATCTTCCATGGGATATACTCTTACCACCTTCTTAATCTGTTCCAAGTGTGACAACACTACCTTCTTCTTTTGTTCCTTTCCTTCCTGCATTGTGTTTGCCTCTCAACCAACCTACATTGGGCTATTGTTTCTCCTACCAACAGAGGTATTCCTACAAACCTGCCAAATGTCACATACTTTTCAGCAAAATGATCAAATATACACCATTTAGTAAATCTTTTTTAACCACAGGAAATTTGAATAGTAGATGAAAATATTAAATCAATTGAATCATGTAAGTGGCTTGTGTCACTTCAAAAGTTCACTGTTAATTCTTATCAACAGTGCAGAAGCATGTCTCTTCAAATGATCTAAGTAGATAGGGGAAAAAAAGGAACCTGAATCTGCTGTATATTTGGAGAACTAACTCATCCAAATTCTTTGTACCTTCCATGATTGAATGATCTGCGGCTCCCATTTGTATTATAACTAGGTTGTCTTGAAAGTTCAGTTTTAGTTTCTATGGCGTAATGCCTTGCAATTGGAGAAGGCTTTGGTCATCATTTAGTTAGACGTTACAACAAAGGTAAGGGGCAAAACATATTCATGTGCTGAGGTTAGCAAGACAGATATATACCTGAGGAAGGCAACAAAAGAATATTATTTGATACCAAAAGTGAAGTGTGCTCATCTGCTTTACATGTTATCATTCTCTCTCCAAATTCCAACATCAATCACGCCATCACCACTATGTAGACTATTTATCTAGACAGAGTTACAACTCTGATAGTAGTGTACTCTTAATATGGCTCTTTGAAAAAGAAAGGGGCATTGGTAGCTGTATATCATTTCAGCCTTCTGCAAGTCAAAAATAGAATTAGAATGTGGTATCTTTCATGTTATTGCTTTACTTTACACAAAGTGACTTTCCATCAATGAAACTTGCAGAGCCGATTTCTTCAGCTTCAGGTTAGTCATCACACTCTCCACCTCCTTCCTTCTCAAACAATCATATGTGCTCTCCGATGTTAGTAGTCTCTTGCTGTGTTAGCCTAATACCAGTGCTCCAATAGGATTTAATCTCGACTCTTGATTGAAATCATGATGTGAGAACTGAAAATGACTGCAGAGAAACCTCCCTGAGACTGGTGTATTAACAAAGGACAGAGAAGCCATGGTTTTTTTTTTTTTTTCACTTTCATGAGAACCACCTCCTTCCGTTCTTGGGYGCTGCTGCTTCTCTCAGCTTCATAACAAGCTCCTCACGCTCCTGCTCGACTTCAGCATACTTTAGGCTGAYATGCAAGTACCGCTCACGGATTTCATTTAACTCCACCTCAAGAGCCAAGTTTATGCTTTCATATCTTTCTTTTGCCACTCCGTCACCTTCAACTGTTGATGKGAGAGATCTTTCTTTGCTCTTTTGATTATCTGAAACAAGCCTGAATATGATGCCAAGAGACATGGAAAAATTCAGATTGATAGAAATCATGAAGCAATGAAGATGGTGAAGGTCTTTCATGTCATAATGATTATTGTGTATGCACTAGGAAGTGAAAGAAAGTATCATTGTTTCTCCTCCAGGTTTATATGAAGATTCGGTCAGCAAAAAATAGGTGTGTTGACTGATTAGTATCTAATTATTATTCTTTCTAAATTTCTAACACCAGATTACGACAGCTTTTGGTTACACATGCTAAGTTTAGCGATCAGCCAATTTACWTAGAACTGCCAACTCTTAGTGCAGGGTCATACTTTAAGTTAATATTTATGGGATATAAGAGAACTATATGATTAAATTATACACACCACCGTTCTTATTCAGCTTCTTCAAACTATTATATAAGTATTATGTAACTTGTGCAATAATATTGTTCTTGTTAATGCCGAGGAATGGGATGATCAGGCACGTTCTCTTTTAGAAATCAAGAAAGCAGACGCTATATTCTAAAACTTGGAATTTGGTGGCAAGCTATGGAGGAATAATTTAGCAGATTCCACGCCCAAGTGTAACAGTTTATGTTGTAAAGTAACAAATATAAAACCGAGCTCCTGATACACATACCTACTCAGCTGAACTTTATAATTCTCCTTTGCTTCCAGAGCCTCAGCAAGTTCCTTTTCGAGCAACTGAATTCTTGAAAAGAATTCAGCTTCAGGAACATGAGAATCTTCGTCATATCCACTATCATCCTGTAGAGACAGGAAAATAAGAAKTTAAAAAAGCATCCTGTTATAYATATGGGCATTCCATGTAAGCACCAAAAAGAGCGGGATGTTTATGGATTACCAAAATTTGAGATTGAGATTGATTACTGTTAGGGTCCTTAGGATCCTTCACTTGCTCATGTGATTGGCTGCTCTTTAAAGCAGGCTTCTTCTTACCGCTGTGATTCTGTTATATTCAAACAATTAACAGTCAAAATTCTTATAAACAGTTTTGGAGTCAACACCGACATCTAAATGAATAGTAAAAGAGACTGACTTTTGGAAGCTTCGTGTCTTTACTGGGCATGTTTTTGCCGTTGGTTTTGGAAAAACCATGAACCTTTACACTGCTAGACWCCCGCTGATTCTGTTTTTCCTCCTTTAACAGTTTCAGTTCTGCTTCAAGGGATTGAGATCTTTTTAGCCACTCATCTTTCTCCTCCTCCAGTATTTTCAATTTCTGTTGGTATTCAACTGCATCACTCTCCGTTCCCAGAAGCTTGCTGTTCTCTAATTCAGCAAGAGTTATCTGCAATACTATTATCTTCTCCAGAAGGGAGTTATTCTCTGTCCTCAAATCTTCGCACTCTTTCGATATCAGGTCGAAAGTTGCCTCCGCTTTCTCCTTATCCTTCTTGGTTGCTTCGAGATTGTTTCTCGATGAAAAATCTTCAAGATCATTGACAGAGTTCTCAAGTTTGACTTCGAGTGATCTGTAATTTTCCACCTGCTTCAATAACTTTTCATGGTCGGATATCAGTATCTCCTGGTTTTGTTTTGACAATGAGAGCTCACTGACCAGAGCCGTTAACTTTTCATCAGATTCCATTTGCTTAATGTTGAGATCATTCTTCTCCAAACATACCTCGTTATACATGCTCTCAAACATGGCAGATGCCTCTTTGTACTTTATGTTCTCCTCAACGAGTGAATCTAATTCCGAAGATAGGAATCTTTCTTTAGAGGCAAAATCCTCCAACCCAAGAGAGAGATATTCCTCGAAATCATCAACCCTTCTGAAATATTGTGCATACCTTTGAAGCGACTCCTTCAATTTCGATTCCAAGCGGAAATAACTCTCATGCAACTCGGAATTCTTTTTCTGCAGCTCTCCATTCGATTTCTGAAGCAAATTGCGTTCTTCAACGAGATGCTCAGCAGCAGCTTCCAACTTCCTTTTTTCTCTTTGCAGGTACTCACATTGATCTTGAGCTTCTGCACACTGGTTTTGCGCGTCATTCTCCTTCTCGTCTGTCACATATTTTAGTTGAGATTCCAAAGCAGATATGCGTTCTGACAACTGCATGCGTTCTTGTTCCATCTGAGATATATGGAGTTCAAGTTCTAGTTTTTCACGTTCAAGCTCCAAAGATTTGCTCTCAAGAATCTCGTTTGCAGAAACATGCAAATCGACACTGTTGCTAAGCTCCTTTACTTCATTTCGCAAATCATTTTTTTCTTTTTGAAGATCAGAATACTTAACTTGCAATTTGTTATGCAAATCTCCAAGGATCTTAATCTCGTCATCCTTGGACAACATGCTAGACTCAAGTTTTCCAATCTCCAGCTTTTTCTCAGTCAATTCCCTACTCAGCTCTTCAACTTGGACTTCCAGTTCAAATATCATACTCTCTAGTTTTTTATTGAAATGACTGTCGTTCTTCTCAATCAAATTTGGACTTTCCTCCAATTTTCCTTCTATATTTTGTTTAGAATGTTTGTTTTTTATTGTGTCGAATCCAAAATTAACAAAAGAATTAGATAAATGGTCACCATCCGTGGAGTCAAAATCCGCAACTTCTCCCTTAGAATCGTCATTTGCTTGCTTCAGCTTGTACAAGAGCTCCATGTTTTCCTCTGTCAACTCATTACAATCCTTTTCTAGCTCCTGCACTTTTTCTTTCAACATTTCAATTTCTTTTACTAGATTTGTGTCTACAGAATGTAGCTTACTACCGAATTCCCTATCTGTATCCTGAGGGAATCTTCGGTTCGATACCTTGCATTTCTGTAAATCAAGTTTTGTTTCCTCCAAGTTTCTCTCCAGTAGCTCTACTTTCAATTGAAGATTTTTCTCTGATTCCTTGACATGCTCCAACTGAAGCATCAATTTCTTATTTTCTCGAACAATATTTTCGTTATCATTGTCTTCTCTGTGCTGTGCCAAAAGTTCCTCTATTTCCAACTTTTGATTTTCAGCAATTGATTCAAGCTCCTGAAGAACGGCCACAAGCTCAACATTTGATTCTTGACTTCTATTTAGCTGCTGAGATAAATCAGCATTTGATTCTTTTAGGAACTTAAGTTCAYCTTGCAATTCATTTAGGATACGTGGTTCACCATCTTGATATGGTAAATCCTCGATGGTTGTTTGTCTCTGCGTTGACTTCCCAGTCGACTGTTTCATTTGCTCAAGTTCTTTTCTCAAATCATCACATTCTGCAGTTGCTGCTGAGAGTGCAATATTCAAACTCTCCTGGTTATGGGATTGATCTGAAAGCTCTTTCTTCAACTGATCGAGCTCAGCCATCAGTTTGTGGGCATTTCTCTCCCACATCCTAGCTTCTGCACGAAGTTCCGCAACAGTCGTTGCTTCAGCTGCTTCCAAAAAGTTTTTATATCAGAAGTGAAACGTTCTTGAAGATGAAATTGCAAAAAACTTGACATCCATTTTGGGAGTAATTACCTGAACCAGTAATTACAGAATTAGGTGATGAACAATGTGAGCTCGCCGAATCTTGTCTTTGAATATCGCCATAATTGTTTTTTGCAGCGTCATTCTCTAGAGATTCATAAACCTCAGATGAAGCATTGCTGAGCTGTGAATAGGAAGCAGAGAAACTTGCTTCCTACAAATGCAGATGAGAAAATACGTCAGTTACAATGTTAGTTAGCGAGGTGTATTTTGTGGCATATTCGCAAAATATGTGAATCAATTAATGTAACGACACGATAGTATGGGGTAGATGAATAACAGGTTCCTGCATGAATAAAATTTTCCCTCCTTGTAGACAAATAACAGAATCATGAGGTTTCCACAAGTACGTCAATTCCCCAATTTTTCTATTGTACATCTTTTCTGTCACTTCAAGTCAACGGATAAAAATGAAATCTCACTTGTGGTATAAAATTGTTAACTAAACAACAATGCCTTTTTTCTCTGTCCTCAAAGATCTTCTCATTTGATATTAAGAGTATGGAGTTGGAGAAGTTAAAAGAACACTAGATTTTCTTAAATACCAAATATGCGAAGCATCTAAGAATGGAAATGGTAATCTAAAATCATGGTCAAAACAAAATATAATGACAGAAACTTGAGGAAACAGGTAACATAACTGAATAATGACAGAAAAAAACGTGATAACAAAATACGAGATCTTGCCTTGCTGCTAGCCTCTCCTGAGTGTAAGCTAGAGTATAGATCTACACCAGAGGAAGATCCAATACTTCTTGACAATTGGCTATCTGTTCTATCTGAGAAGCTATCTGAGTCATGACCATCTTTCTTCAAGTCTTCTTTTCGAGAATTGGTCTGTTTTAAATCTCCACTCCTGAAAGTAGTTCATTAATCTTAAAAACCAAACATATAATCAAGAGTTTACAATATGAACAACGCCATCCCATCAGACAGACCTTACTTTTGATATTGGAGTTAGGCACTGGATTTTTACCTGCCAAAAAAAAACACAGAAGTAAAMTTTTTGAAGCCTGAACTCCTACATGAAATTCCTGATCAATAGCTCTAGATAATTCTAAACTGAAGAACCAAATTGCAAAATTTCATTCCAAGTATTAATTTCAAGAATGAAAGATAAAACACCTAACTTCCATCCTACATAAATATTTACACTGTAAAACTTACCATTAACATGGTCCCATAATCGCACTTATTTAGTGGAAGTGAGACGGCAGAAGATTTAGAATCCGCGTACTTTGTAATATTAACCACGGCCTCTCCAAGAATATTAGATCTTCCCGATCCCTGTGATTGAAGATTCAGTTTAAATCAGACCTAGTAGTCGTCGTCCAATTGAGTTTCTCATCTTTGCATTCTCCAATCAATGTCCAAAAAGTTTTAAACAAAAAAAGAAGAAAAAATAACAAGAAGAAGCAAAATTACAGAATAGCAGCTAATTGCTAATAAGAACAACATAGTGGGCATATAATGAGGCTAAAATGGTTCACTTGTTTTAAAAGACAAACAGCAGTACCATGGCCACAACAAGCTTGAAATTACAATCTTCAAACTCTTTTGAAATTTCATCTTGTGAAACCCAGACGGATTCTGATACACATTCAGTCCACTGGCAACTTCCATTACGAACTGATGCTTTGCTTGACCTAATAATCGTTTTGCCATTTTGCTCTGAGACAACAGATACAAATAGCTTATCCCAACCTTTAGGTACCTGCAAAAAGAATTCTACAATGATTCTTACCACAGGGAAAATCCAGAATTTGAATATCGCATTAATCAGAATTCAGCAGCGACTGATAACTGTAGACCTGACCGAGAGTCAGATCATCAGTTATCACCAAAATGATAACGCACATTCAAGCCGAGGTTCCAAAGAAAGTAATAATGAAAAAAGCAAATAGTGTGTAGTAAATTAGTAACTTCCATTTCTGTTCATCCTAATCCCAACCAATTGAATCGAAATGTGACTTCCATTACAGAACTGTACTGATTCGGTGAATACATCTTAAATCTCCAATGAGGAACCCGCCCCGAACGTATCAATTTTCTCCCGAATTCATACCCCAGAAAACCCTTCGACAAAATTTTCCAATCGCAACTGTTCCATCTAATTTACTTCCAATAGAAAGATCATTAAACATTGCGGAATGAGATGCCCCAATCACACGGAGAGCTCATTCCGAATCCCAAAATTTGGGGGAAGTCAACTCCAGTAAATGCCATACGAATAAAGGGAAACAAAATACAAAAAAAGAGTACCAACCTGGACTGCCTTGAAGTTAGAGAGCTTGAAATCAAATTTCTCCCCTGATTTCGCTTGCCGGTTCTTGTGCAACCTGAACATTTTCCCCCGCTCTCTTTCGCCCACCCCACTTGTTCTATCAAATCAGGTGCAGAAATTCCTCCAATCGTTCCCCCATTATCATCATCATTGTCATTACCAAGAAGAGAGAGAGAATAAAAAAAAAAGAAGGAAACAAAAAAGTGATCAAAACTATGGCTAGAAGACAACAGAGACAAAGAAAGCGTTCGCTAGCTGGTCATTGTTGCGAAGGGTGTTGCATTATTTTCCACCATCTCCAAGCGTTTCATGTGCAACTCTCAAAAGCAAGAGAGAGAGAGAAATGGAATTTTTATAGTTGGTGAAGATACAGTGAAGCCATGGCAGATACAGTGAAAAGCCATGGCATATCCCGCAAACAGCCGTAATCGTTTTATTATTCACAAACCGTTGCGAATACSTAATCTCRTGTACTCGCGCTAAATACACGACGCGTGGTACCAATAAGACGAGACAACTGGTTCGTACACGTGTCTTTGTGTTATAGGTCTGAATAATATAGTAAAAAAATATCCTCGAAATTCCCATAAAACGTAACGAGAGTCGGTAAAAAGCCATTGACGTTTTTTCGGGCGCACCGAATTGAAACCGACTCGCCTTTTTATTTTATTATATTTTTCTTTCCTTTGAGTTTAATAATAACGAATTTATTGAAATCACATGAATATTTCGAAGGGAAAAAAACGATCAAATTTTTATTTTGATTATCTACCGTTGGCCTTTCATGGCATTCATTATACTCTATAAAATTAATTCCAACATAGTTCAATCTTTGGTACACTCTTTAGAAATTTTATAATGGTATGTTACTTATGAGATCAATGACTCTTTGAACGTATTGATTTGACCCTAAAAATCTGTTTTTTCTCGATGTTTCATCACGTTTTCAATAAAATCTTTTAACAATGTTTTTGTCATCTCCCAACCTCTCAGTGTTCAGCTCAAAAGATACGAAAAAATTTTCTACMTAAGAAAAGATATTTGCATATTTGCTTTAACGAAAATCTAGTGCTTGATAAATCAAATACAAAGAGATTAACAAGTCTTTAGTTTCATGTTTTTATATAGAACTTGATCATAACTAAACAATTAAAATATTTTTATATAATTAAAAAAGTCGTCAATTCGGATTTCTGTCCCATGTTTGTGATATAATATCTGGACAAAAGTTAAAATTACATAATGTAATTGAAATGAATTAAAAAATGAAGATAAAAGTTAACTTACAGACTCAATTTGAGTAGGTTAAAAGCTAAGATTGATTATTTTTCTAAGTATTTGCGTGTATTTGAGAGTGATRGTAATATGAGTTATTTGTAAAAAGGAGATTTGAATATAATTGATTTTTCAAACTCGCCGTCCAATGATACCTTAAAAATCAATTTAAAATGTATTGGAGGTGATTTCTCATCTCATACATGGCATSAGATAATTGGATCATACAAGGTGCATGTGGCTTATACGAAGCAACGATGTGCATCACCTTGATCATGATTCCTCTGGTCGAGCCGATCTCTTTGGTGGTCGCCCAAGTCATTGGTTGAACTGATTGCTCCACCTCGACTCAGTTCCATCTCCAATAGATTCCACGACAACATGTTCTGAGTTTCACAGCAACCTTAAAGAGCCTCTCACCTATAGATAGAACTCATTTGCTTCGTTAAAAGGTGCACGAATACTAGATTCTCTCTCGAGTTTAGTTCGGCTTGCTACTAACTTTAGCATCAGAATGTGTACTGTTTTGCAGGTCAGCTATCTAGTTCATCCTTCGAACATCTCTTAGTTCGAGCTGAGGTTCGCAAAGTTGATCATTTTTCTAATCAAACAAAATGATTTTAGACTTCCTAAAATAAATTTTTTAATTTGTCAAAATAGAAACGGAAGATTACTCTAGATAAGCAAAAACGACAAAGCTAATAAGGACAGAGATAGATAATCATCCTCACTACTAGTATTGTCCCAATTCATAAAGAATGTGTAATTTTCCTCTCCAATCTTGTTGTCTCCTTCAAGTTTTAGAAATGGAAGATGATATATAGAAAATGTTATCCAACAAAAATTGTGGCTCCATGGGAGATTGTAAACTGCAAGGAGGAACCCACCATCGGTACCCACGGAGATGGGAAGAAGACAAGGCTCACTGCGCAGAGGGTGGAGGTTTGGTCCACCCGCCACACGCACACCCAACCAAACTTTCGCTACACGGTAAAAATTTCTCAAATCTCCAAACCAAATAAATATAAATAATAAGTTAAAAAAAAAACTATTTTGACTTGTTTTATTCAAAAGGTTTATTTTGATACTTTTGCTTTAAAAAAAGTTCTATTGTATGGTAACTGTGATAGAAAAAAAAACCCTAAATAATCACTTTTTAAATAACATTGACAAAAATAAATATTTTGAGAGTATATTAATTAAAATTAACCAAATTAAAAAATATATAAATCAAAATGAACATTTTGAAAGTAAATACTAAAATAGTATTTCAGTCTAAATAATATAATCTTCTTCCCTTATTATAATATACTATGCTTTTTTTTATAATAATATACTATGCTTTTTTTTTAAGTTCCACGTTACGTTAGAACAAGGATTCATCCAATCTTTCAATTTAAGATATACATCTTAATTAGTGGCGGATACAAAAATTTTATCCAAGTGTTTTATTTAAAATTTTCTAAAAATAATTTACAAGTACATGATTCGACGAATCTACTGTTTACATTTTTTTTATATTTCTTTTAAAATTTGATATATTTATATGAAGAGAATTTTCAATTCTAGAGGTAGCTCGAGCCTCACATGAGATAAGAATCAACATTGTTTTTCCCTTTTCTCAAAATAAAGAAAGAACAATGTTTTTCCCTTTTATATATTTTATAATATGTAGTAAATTTCAACAAAAACAAAGGAGGCTTGAACCACGAGGCTTGGGGCATGCACCACCAAGCCAAAGTAAAATTTTATTATCATTTTAAAATTATTTTGTATATAATAGAAATATTTTTAAAATTTAGGAGGGTAACATTACATCCCTAACTATGAAATTTTCTATTTTGAGACATTAAAAGGTTCATATAATTGAGAAGTAAAGTATTTTTAGAATCACTTTTTGGCCCACGAAAAATGTCATTAATTAAATTGAAATCATGGTACCAACTAAGGCTCTATAGAGCCAACCTAAACATAACTTAACGAATTAAAATATCAATGTTCAATCATAAGACCGTGAGTTCGAATTTCCTCATCCTCACATGTGAAAAAAAATGAAAAAAAGAGCTCCAGATATTTTTCTTTTTGTTTTTGAAATATGACCGAATAAACACCAACCAAAAGGAAAAGAGAAAAATATRAATTAAATTTAAACCCGTAGTTAGATATCCAATATATGAATTAAATTTACCCAATCAATCAACTTAAACTTTTGGGTTGAAGGGTAGTTTATTCATCCTTAACACATATGACCTTACCCATTGCTATTCATCGATCTTTAGAGTTGGTCCATCTTTCGATATTTTCTCAATGATCATAAAATCTGTTAGTTCGATCTTCGAGTGACTTCCTTTGAACCACCATAAAACCACCCTGTGATYTCTATTCTTCTTTAATTATACCCAACCAAARAAGAAAGAGTCCTTCCAAATCAAACAAGATACCACAGACTACCAAACAGGGTAATAACATAAGATTTTTTGTCTCATCAACCATCAACCAACACCTCATCCAAATGGAAGAAAGGGAATCTGATTCAATAGTTAACAAAAGAGAGATTTTCATTGCCCCTTTAACCCTTCATGTACAACTACTACCTCTGCAACTACAAGATTGAAACTCAACTACTGTACAGCACCTCTACAGTCTCTAATGATTGTCCAATGAATTTTTCTTCAATTTGCAAGCAATATCCACATTAATTTTAACCCAACCAACCACAGAGAGGTTCACAAGTCTAGTCATCTTTAATTCTATTTAAACATAAAATTGACCCTTCATCTAACTGCTACATCACGCCACCTAATAGTCAATCTCATTAGAAAATCTTCCCTAAGCCATAAAAATTTTGGGTGTCTTCAGTCAAAACGAAAGGACCTTATTTGCACCTTTTTTATTTTTCTTTCTTCATTTAGGGCAGGGCAGGGTATCCTTATAAATTAAACTTTCAATTCATAGAGTAACCTAACAGAGTATAAGAAGATTCTAACTCCTGAGTCTTAATATTATTTAAAACAGGCAGAGAAATTGTTGAAAAGAGTATTCAAACCTTCACTTTTGGAATTCCAACAAACAATAGAAGTAATCGATATGGAATGGTCGGAGGGCGGAGAAACCGGCGGAGAGGCCCAGCTGCCGGAACTGCTCCTCAGTTCTCTGCTTGCTTTTGGCCCTGTAAATTGTCATGATGAATACGTCGTTGGCTAAAAGGGCACGTGTCCGGTGACTGTCATCCGTCTTCTCCGGCAGCGTCGGCTCGCAGGCGATCAGTTTCCCTCCCGCCGGGAGAGACCTGCAGCAGTTTTCCAGGATAATCTTGCATTCCTCGTCTGTCCATGTAGACAGAACCCACTGCAAAATACAAACAGAACCTCACCACTGAAAATTCCCAACATTTTAATTCCAATCCTGATTCAGAACTTATTAAAAATAATCAAATATATGAGTTGAATCCTAAACCTTCATTAGTGTTATGGGCTTAATATAAACGTTTGGTGTTTACTAAATCTAACCAAAGTTAATTAAGTGGAAATATTAAGAAAATTTTAACTTSATATAATATTAAGAATTCATTTATTTATTTTTATTACTTGGAATCCAGGTCACGTGACTACCCAGTAGATCCCTATAACCAAAAATCATAGGGTAAGGTTCGTGGTACTATAAAACCCCAAATGATAATCACTGCCCCATTTCCGTTACACAAAATCAAAAGTTTGGAAAACAAAGTTTATATACTTAACTAGGTGAGTAAGTTTAATGATTTCTAAGTGTGGTTATTTTTGTAATGTATTGACTCACTGGTCCCTATAAATCTAATGGCAATATAAGACAAATTGAGAAAGGAGCACTACAAAACTTTCTAGACTCGAAAAAATTGTTCCACTTCAAATACAAGCTACACCTTTTACTTAATTACTCTCCATTGGTAATAATAGAGATGTCAAAAATCGAGTCTCACGAGATAAGGAATCGTATTATAAATGGAGACGGGGAAGGTTTTAATATTGGGGACGATAAATACATTCCTCGTCCCACTAAAGAACCGAATCAACTCGAAAAATCAAATCAAATCGAATTGGGTCAGTTCAATTTTAAAAGTGGTCGATTCGGGTTGGTTTTGACCCGACAAACCGAGGGTTTTGTACCCTACTGCTTTCTTGCTCTCTTGCTCTCTCTCTCTCAGCAAGGCGACACGTTACAGAAAGCAACGGTGGCGCGCGATGCATCCCAACAGCAGAAGAATAGGTTCAGTTTCAATTTCTTCACCCTATTTCTCTTATAATTTTTTGATAACTTTGTTTTCGGTGGAATGTGCCAAATGAAAAGAGATTTTGAATTTGAATACTTTATTTAACCAAAAAGAAATTCTATCTGTGAATCCAACTTGATGAATTTGAATTTGGAGAGGTGAAAATCTATTTCAATTTCTTGATTTAAGGGAGGAAGAAGGAAATAGTGAAGGAAGAAAGAGAGAGAGAGAGAGAGAGAGAAACCCGAAGAAGACCTAACCTGAGTCTAAATGAAAATCTTCGGTTCAGTTTTGTCCAAAAATCAACCAGTCCCGGCCAAGTCACACCCCTACTGATTAAATATATATTTATAAAAATAAATAATTAATATATATTTTTAAATAATTAAAAATAATTACGAGACGAAAAAATTCCACGCGGGATCCGCAATACATCTCCGTCCCCATTTGATTGCCATCCCTATTTAGGGATCATACTTCATAGAGTGAAAGTCTTCAAATATAAATTTTAAGTAACATTTTCTATTTTTGATTAGTTATTATTTCTAGTACATGTTTCTATTTAATAACTATTTGTCTTGTCTTTTCTCTCTTTTTAGAACAAGTGTGCCAACTGTTTTATGTTTGTTGTTTTTCAAAGTTTGGAAATAATAACAACAAACGAAGTTTTACTAAAAAAAAAAGCTCCAAAATTACTATATCAACCTTAGAAAATATAACTATGTCTTATAAGTAATTAGTATAACTAAAAAAATACTTTTAAAATATTTATTTGAGCTAATAATTATAGGATAAGAGATCAAACTATCACTCTTATGGATCTATTTTATATTTTATGATTTATCAATTTGAACTTGCTTAGATTGACTTTTAAACAAAATTTAGATRCCGATAGATATCTAAATTTTATCTTTGACTTTTAGGGTAAATAAATTTCAAACTCTCTCTTATTTTAGTRCACTCCACATCATAATCTATCACAATTTAAACATTTCCATTTCTTGGCGCATTTTATTTCTCTATATGTTTCTTTAAAATAAAGAAATCTAACTATTTTACTTCAACATATCTTTTTCTAACACATTTTTTCTTACCAACTTGTATAGTATAATCAAACTTGTCAAAGTAATAACAACTATTTTAACACCACAAATATTTATATTGTAATACTAAAAATATAAGCACTCTCTAATTGAGCTCTCTCTTCACTCCTTTCTAAAAGGCGAACCTTATTTTTCACTTGTTCGATACCGTACCTCTCTATGTTGTTTTATAAATATTTATTTACTAGTAATAAAAAATTATGTATGATTTTATAATCAATATAATATAGTTCTATTATTATTATTATTATTATTATTATTATTATTATTATTATTATTATAATAGAAAAACTAAAAATGGTATGAAGTGAAGCAAATCTAAATTTCACAAATTTAAACTTTCCCAAACTTAACCAATCCGAAGGACTTTCTTGACTTTTCACACTGATTGATAGGTCCTGGCTAGTACACCACACGCGAGGTTTAGCGTGCGACACGTAACTCAAATACCAATCACGGGGTCATTGACTCATTGGTAGAGGGGTAGAAGTGGAACAATTTTATTTATTTTTTTATAAATATAAAACTTAGATTTTGCTCAGTTAACATCTTCTTAATTACTATTATTAAAAAATTGAAAGTTATTTATTCTATTTTTTCTATTATTCTATTATGTAGAGTAATGTAAGTTTTATATTTTCATTCAAAAAAAAATTAATTAATTTTATCTTTATTTCCCCTGCTCCTCTACAGAAAAAGAAAAGCTACGTACCTTCATGAAAATAGCGTCACCGGTGGGGATGGACTTGAACATGTCACCTCCAACGTGAGTCACACCTGTCATTTTAGAACACAATTACTCCTTTTGATTTTTCTAATTTGAAGTTAATTTTTGCTAAATAAACAAAATCATCCCTAATATTTTATATAATTTGTAATTGATCTATTAAAAGTTACAATTTCGTGAAAAAAAAAGATGATTTACAATTTATAAATTAGTTGATGGGTTTTGTTTTATTAATATTTTTAGCCATGATCAATTAATTTTTATGTGTAGGTATTCTTCTGATAGCATATCCAAACATATTAATAAAACAACAATTCAATAATATATCATTTCTTTTTTTTTTAATATAATATGTGAGGTGGAAGATCGAACTTACAACCTCTTGACTTGAGATATATGTCAATTATCTCTAAATTGTGCTTACTATGATTTGCTGTACMATTTCTTTATTATTTTTTTTATATAAATTTTAACATTTATTGTGGAATCACCTAACTAAAGAATTTAATAGGCCAAGAGATTGAATTGGAAATCTTAAAAGCTYAAAAGACTAAATAAAAAATTAATGATCCTTAATTTCTTATACCTAAATTAAAGTAGTGGACACTGGAGGTTCTAATTGACACGAAAACTTTATTAATCGAACTGTCTTTTTCAGAAGTACTTCCCAAACACATGGAAAAGTATTGATTATATATGGAGATAGGTAAAAATATATGCACGATCCGATCCAATCAGGTTAAGAATTCCTCGGTAGGGACGGGGAGGTTCCGTCCCGTCTCCGTCGCCAGCCTAGCCTGTTTAATATTTTATTAGTATTTATATTTTTACATATAATAAATTAATAATAGAAATAATATATATTAATTTTTATACTATTTTATAATTCGTTTAAAAAGATGTTCAATGTCTTAAATTCAATACATATTAATAAATCTATAAAAAGAAATAAAAATTCAAAAAAATAAAGTTAGGTCCGGGATGAGTTCCTGTGAGGACCC